CAAAATAAAATGGTATCAACACCATTTGGGTATTCGTATATTTTTTTAAAGGAGTGGCAGGTGGAGGGAGAAGCAGGCTCTCCGCTGAGCAGGGATCCAGACGTGGGGCTCCATCCCAGGACCCTGGGATCATGACCTGAGCGGAAGGCAGCCACTTAACTGACTGAGCCACCCAGGTGCCCCAGGGTATTCATATTTAAAACATATTATTCGTTGGTAAAAACCCAAAGCCAGGGAACCACCGCCCTGGGTTTTTGAGGGTATGAGTGTGATTACATTTGTTTTCTGCCTTCCCCTAGAGTGGTCTGGCATGGCAGGTGCTCAGCGGGTATATATGAATGGGATAAACCTGAAATGTCAGGGTGTGATTTACAAACCTGCTAGTCTGGGGCCAGGGATCCCCCTGGGTCCCCACTCCGGCCTCTTTGGAGAAGGAGAGGCCGACCTATGAGCTATGTAGATAGGGGTAGAGGTGGGGGTTCCGGAGCCTGACGTAAGTTCTGGGAGGAGAGAGATGCCCCCTTCCCCCACTGCTGCCTGGGAAGTCCTGAAAACTCTTGCCCTTGACCAGGGAATTTCCCATGTGAAAAGCCCTATCTCCGTGGATTGTCCTTGGAGGAAGTGATCAGCACACGCCTGTGGTTTTTAATGCGCATACAGTTGAAGAGTTATAAAATGACCATCCATGTGCCGACCACTCATGTTAGGAACAAGGGTTGTAAAAGGTTTTCCAAGGCTCTTCCTCTCCACAGAGGCATCCACAGAATCCTCAGCTCTGTGTTTACTCTTCTCTTCGTTCTCTTTATAACGCTCCTCTGTATCTATGAATTCCTAAACAAGATATTGTCTACTTTTGCATTTTTCGGGTAAACCTGACATAAATGCATGCTTCCTGCTTTTTCCCCTTCGAGGTGAAGGTGGTGAAATTCACTCCTGTTGATACCTTTGCTGTGACATGACAAAAATACTATCACTTATTCACCCATTTTTCTATTAACAGACATGGAGGTGGTTTCCAGAATTTTGCCACTATAAACAGTGCTGCTTGGAATATTCACAAACCTTTCTTCTACTGCTCCTGCTCAAGAGTTTCTCTCCCCAGGAGTGCAATTGCTGGGGCGTCAAGAACCATATCTTCACCTTTGCTAGATTGTACCTCGTGCGCCCCTTCCAACAACAGGGGTAGTTGCTGATGCTCCATATCCTGGTTTTGCTATATCCGGGAGGCCAAGGGATGCTTAGAGTCCCCCACCTCCCCATCTCAGCTTCTCCCAGACCCAGCTCCCAAGATTATACTCAGCAGGGGTTTTGGCCGATTTGGGTTTTCCTGTTCTTCTTCCCAAAGCAAGTTAGTGCAATTCTCCAAACCTTTATTGAGCACCTACTATACTAGGCATAGAGTTGAGGGGATACTGAGGCATTAGGCCTTTGCTCTTAAGAAACTCAGGGGGTTAGCACAGGGGCACAGACATCTTGAACATTAACACCTCTCTCCCCCGCCAGTTCTCAGGAAATCCCTCCTCCTGCCTGCTCTGCAGCTCACCACTGGGTGCTCTGGAGCACCCATACTCCCCACAGCCAGCCATCTGTTGGACAGCTCCACCTGGCTGTCTTCACGGACCCTACATTCTAATGAGTGGAGGCCAGGGACGCTGCTGACCATCTTACCATGCATGGACAGTCCTCACAACAAAGAATGATCAGGTCCAAAATGTCAATAATGCTGAGGCTGAAGAACCCCTAGTGGTCTAAAGTCACCTTCCTCCCGAAGCCTCCTCCTCCTCCTGCAGCCCTGTTTCATCAGCGGCACCTGCCTTCACCCAGCCCCTCAGCCTAGGGAGATGAGCTTCACAGGGAGTTGTCCTCCTTTGCCGCCCACAATCAGTCAACTCAGTCTTGACAATTGAACTTCGAAAGCTCTTGCCAACACCTCTGCTCTCCCCCTACTTGGCTGCCTTTGCTCAAGCCCCCTTCATTTCTTTTGTGGACTGTACAAAATACCCTCCCCAGCATGGCCTCCCACTTCTGATCTGACCTCTACTCATACTGCCTCCAGAGTTGTCTTTCGGGGTCTATGACCTTTCCCATTCAAAGGCCATTAACCCTCCCTTTTCCTTCAAGTTCTACATATCCTGTGGTGAAAGAGTAACACCTGAGCACAACCCAGGGTCCTCATTACCTGTTCCCCCTCTTTCCCTTCAGCCTTGGAAGGAAGGTTCTCTAGGCCTCAAGCACTTGGGTCTTCTCTCTGCTCCACAAACACCTTCCACTTTTGCCCCTCTGTCTTTGTTGATGCTGTGTCCAGTAGCTGGATGCTCAGCTGCCATTTCTGACGGTTGAATTCCACTTAACCTTCAAAGGCCAACCCCGATGTTCTTTCCTCTTTGAGACTTCCCAATCCCTCCATTAGAGTTAATCCCTCCTGATGACATAACTTCAGTTTTTATCAGTCTGTCTGGAATGAGGCTTGGGTGTGCATCTCCATTGCTAGAGTGGGAAGGTCTGGAGGTCAGGAGCTGAGGCCTCACTTTTTTGTATCCCTGAAGTCAAAGCCACTTGGCTGATTGTGGTGGGTGGAATTCTGGCTCCCAAAAAGATATGTTTAATTCCTAACCCCTGGTACCCAAGAGTCTGACCTTACTGGCAACTAGGGTCTTTGCAGATGTAATCAAGTTAAAATGAGGTATGTCAGTACGACTCCATTAGGTGGGCCCTCATCTAATGACTGACATCTTTATAAGAAGAGGGGAATTTGGACGCAGACACAGAGACACGGGGAGAATTCCTTGTGATGGTAGAGGTGGAGATTGGAATAACACACTTGGAAGCCAGGGAACTCCAAAGATTACCAGCAACTGCCAGAAGCTGGGAAGAAGCAAGGAACGATTCTCCCCTAGAGCCTGTGGAGGCAGCTTGTCTCTGCCCACAGCTTGAACTTGAACTTCTACCCACCAGAACTGTGAGAAAATAAATTTCTGTTGTTTTAAGCCACTTCATTTGTGGACCTTGCTACAGCAGCCCTAGGAAGCTGTTACACTGACAGCACCAGGCACAGTGTCTGGTGCATAGAAAATGTCTAGTAGATCTACAATGCCTGCCCTCAAACAACTTTGGGGGCTTTAACATGCACCTACTTTGCTTTTCCTTACTTCTAGAATTATCCACATACCAACCTTCCATGTCTTTGGGTTTTTATATCCACAGAGAGGGTGTTGGATTTTGGACTTAGAGATACTTGACTGTCTCCTTGGCTTCATAAAGTGTCTCTAGGAGGACCAGGTGTCACATAACTAGGAGTATTTTTCTTCCTAAGTTGAGGTGCCACTACTGACAAACCTTGGAAAGAGCATTCCCTAGGTCCCCAGGAGACAGCAGGCTCCCTGGGAAGCGTCAGGCCCTGTATCAGAGGATCCAGGGACATAGATTACCATCGTTCCTTCTTTCTCTTTCCTTTGAAGAGCAAATGGCTCTGGGTCCTGCCTTGGCTTCTGTTCAAAACGTTCTGGGGCCTTGTCAGCCTTAACACTGCTCATCCCCGTGCCACCAACACTCAATGATTGACTCATTTGATCCCCATAGTCTGGAAGGAAGCAAAGTATCATTATTTCCACTACATAGATGAGGAAACGAAAGTGACTTGTCCCAAGTCACATGGCTCCTAAATGGCAGAATCCGAGGTCAAAGACAGATCTCCAGGCTCCTGGTCCGGCAATCATTCCTTAAACCTCATTCCTCACCGTCTAGGTCAAGAAGAAAGGCTCCCTGGAGGAGGGGGCCTTTTGGGGAAGGAGATGTCTGTGTTTCCAGGCTTCTGCTCAGCAACTGGCTTGGTCATCACCGTCAGATCTCAGAGCCAGAGGGCACGGTGGAGACCATCAGTACTGGATCAGTGCCAAAGGGAGGCCAGGCTGGGGAGCAAGGCCAGAGTGCTGGCAGTTCTGCCTCCCCTCCTCCTCCTCCTCCTCCTCCTCCTCCTGGTGCCTGGGGCTTCGACCCATCCCTCTCAGAGCAGGAACTGCTGCTGCTGACCTTGCAGTTCTGATCCATCAGGGGAGATAAGAGTCTCCATGCTCAGTGACTGCCCCTCTCTCAGCCCATCCGAAACTGGTTCCTGGATAGAGAGCCCCTGGCACCCACCAGCCCAGCTGCACACTTGAAGGGAGCCAGGTGGTGCTGGTGGTGCCTGAGCGCCCTTCAGAATCCCGGTCCTGGTGATCCGGGTTCCTTCCTTCCTGGGGAAAAGCTGAGCTTCCTCTGCCCTGTTACACACCCGGCTGCTCCAGCCCAAAGACCAGTACCAGCAAAGCCAGGACAGTGCCTTTGACATCATTGTGTTTTCCGAACTGCAGGCTCTCAAATGTTTGCTGAACTGAATCGAAGAATCTCGTTTGGGGGTTGGCTGGCTTTACACGGGGCGCGTTCTGTAGTTTGCTGGCGGCACAGCGAAAGCACTGCCCGGCTCATCTCTCGGGGCCTCTTAGGGGCGGAGGGCCGGGGCGGGCGCTGCAGGCCCGGGAGCCGGTGCTCGGGTCCCGGACCCGATGTTACGGTACCTGCTCTAACTCTCCCGCTCGGCTTCTGCTCTTGGGCTTCTCCGGGCTAAGCCGGTTTACCTGCAGCGAGCTCGGCCCGACCCCGATCGTCGGGTCCCCGCCCGCCGCCCCACTCCCCGGCACCCCGGCCCCTGCGAGAGGAGGCGGCTCAGCGCCGAGCTGGTCGAACTGGTTCTGAGCAGGAAGTCCCCCGCCCTCGCTGCCGGCGGCCGATCTACCCCGCGCCGGCCTGGGCGTCCGTCGGTCCGTCTGGCGGCCGGTCGGACAGCTAGCCGGCGCTCGCGGGCGCGCGGTCGGGCCGGCCAGGGCGGAGATCAATGCGGCTTTGTGCGGGGCCGCCCACACCCCGGGGGCCGCTCGGGGCGGCGGGTGCGAGCGCGGCGGGCCGGGCGGGCTGAGATTAGCGGCCATGTGACCTTACCTGGGCCGGGCGGCGGGGGAGGGGCGCGCAGGTGAGGCGGCGGCCGCCGGGCCCTGCACGCGCACTCGGCGGCCGCGGGCTCGGCGGCATGGCTGTCAGCAGGAAGGACTGGTCCGCGCTGTCCAGGTGAGAGCCGCGGCCGGCCCCGGGGAGCCGCACCGGGCTCTCCGCTCCCCGCCGCGGCGTCGGCCCCCTTCCCGTCCCCGGGAACCGGGCTCCGAGGCTGTCGGGCGGGGGTGTGGGGGGTGGGGGGGGGGTGGGGGGGGGGGGGGGTGGTGGCAGCCCCTAGGGCCAAAATGGGGGAGCTCTTAGGTGACAGGGCAGGGCGGGTGTTCTCGCTCCCCCACCGTTCCTTTCCTCCTCTCGGGGACTGAGGCCACACACAGGGTGCTTGGGGGAGGCTGGTCCCCGGCCTGGAGAGGCCCTCCCATGGCCCCCTGCGGGGTGGAGGGAACATTTGGGGGGACTGGGGAGGTGTTCAAGAGTTACCGCCAAGCCTCGTTCCGAGAGAGGCCTCCGCCGCTGCCATGTTTCTCTGGTAGAGACTAAGAGAGTGGGCCCCTGGGGAGGTATCCGTCACCCCCTCTTGGGGAAGAGGAGTGGGGACAGCACTCTCTCCCTGGAGGGCCAGAAGAACAGGGATCAGGGAATAGAGACCATTGGGCAACAGAGCCCCCTCCCACTAATGAGGCTCAAATTCAGAGTGTGGCATTTTGGGGTGGTGTCTGGGCTGGGCGACCTCAAGATAGTTGCTGTCCCCCTCTGTGCTTCAGTCTTTTTTTTTTTTTTTTGTAGGCTGGTCTTTCAGAGGGTCAGGACACTGGGTGTCTTGTCCTTGCTTGCTGGACATCCTGTCAGGGTTAGATAAGCCTGGGATGTTGGAGGGTTGTCCTGGAGGCAGTGCCCCTCGCTGTGGCTGGTGACCCTGGTGACTCCCGTTGGAGCTACCGGGCACCTCCCCTCAGAAGTGTTCACACCAGCATCTTCATTTCTTCACCCCCCCCCCACTCTCCCTGCCACCTCCCACCATCTTGCCCTTGAAGAAACAGGCCTGTTGTAGTAGCTCGGAGCTGGATCCCTACTCCTTTGATCGCATAGGGTTAAGCCAAGTAGAAATTGTCCTTTTTGCCCTTCCCAGGTGGGCATTTGGACACTGAGGCCAAGGTTCTCTCTGCAGGGGCAGACCAGCACCCTCCCCAGGCCTTCCGCCTTCAGGTGGCTTTCAGGCATTCTCCCGTGTTCTAGGATCTCCTTCGCCTCCCTCCAGAAGGGCTCTGCAGCTTCTCTCCTGTTTCAGTCTCATCCTCCCCAGGGCTGGGGGCCCGCCTCCTCAGACCCTCAGGACCTCACATTGCTCTGAAGCACAGTTGCCTAGTAACCCCCCCTGTGGCGGGGCCCAAGGGTTCTAGAGAGGGGATAAGGTAAGCCCCGAGAATGGAAGGAACTCAGTGCTCCGCGAAAAGGAACCTAGGCTGCCCGGGAGGTTGGGCACACCCCAGGGAAGGTCTGTGCTGAGGGTGGCGCTTGGGGGTCCAGACCTTGGACTCTGCAAGTGGGTCATTGTGCCTGGGGGTTGATGTGGGAGTGCCTTTGCTCCTAGGTGGGGGCATATCTGTGCCAGTGGATGTGTGCTTATATGGGTGTGTGCAGGTGTATGTGTGGGTGAGCGTGTTTATGGCCCATGTAGTATGGAGGTATCTGTGTGAGTAGTAGGTTCTTATGTTGCTGAGTTTGGGCTGTAGGAGTCTGAGTGTGTTTGGTGTGAATGTTTATTGAAGACCTCAGTATAGTGCATTGGGTGAAAAGTGCAAACCACACACTACGTCATCAGGAGCTCACCGACTGGTGGGATATATGTGATTTTGTGTCTGAGAGCATGCCTGGATATGTATAGGGTGTGTGTGTGGGGGGGTGGGGGGGTGGCTGGAGCACGAGAACTTTAAAAATGGGAGCAGGGTCTGGTCTTAGCTTGTCCACTGCTCAGATGGACATGTGGCTGCAGGGGTGGGGCCGGGTTCCCAGGGGATGCCCAGGATGAGTGCCAGGAACGCCCTGGGGAACCAGTCCTGCCACAGGAGCCCCTGGCCTGCCCTCCCTGCCAGCCCCAGCCCGCGCAGAGCCCCGTGGGCAGACCCAGCTGGTACCAGCCGTCACTCTGATGAGGCGCCTGGAGCGGAGGTCCGCTCCCGCTCTGCTCCCCGGCTGAACAACAAGCCTCAGCGGGCAGGAGGGAAAGGGCTGTGAGTCACTGTCAACCTGTGATGAGGGTGTGACCGGTGTGGCTCCAGGCAGGGTCCAGGTGGGGAGCGGAGGGCCAGCCTGCCACCCATCCTTGGTGTGAAGTAGACCTTCAGATGCTCCAGCCCTGGGATGGGGGCAGTGGCGAGCTGGTTGGCAGGGTGCCCTGGTCAGTGGCCTTGTTCTTTCCTCCCGGGGCTGGCCAGGTGACGGGTGAGGCTGGGCTGGGCCTGTCTGCAGGGGGTGAGGGGTGGGTCTGAGGGTGCCTGGGACTGAGCTGCCAGTGGTTAATCATTTCCCTGCCTAGGCCTTGAGCAGCCCTCCCACCTCCCAGCACGGCTCGCCGTCCTCCCCTGATAGCTCTCCCTAGCCCGTTAGGGCTGGAAGGGACTTTCGTGACTGCCCGTGGTAACCCCTCCTTGTGCACAAGGGCAGCCCGAGACCTGCCGTCCCTAGGGGTTGAAGACTGGCCCAAGGTCACAAGGCCAGTCAGAGCTGGGCCTCCCAGCTGTCTGTTCTTTCCTTCAAAGAGTTGCAAATCCTGCTCCTTGAGCCCAGGGTTCTACAGATGTCTCTGGGGCGGCCTTCTCACTCTGCGCCCACTTAACCAGAGCAGCTGAGCCCTGACCTGTTTTTTGAGCTTGTTTTGGGGTCTCCCGCAGGGAGGTTCTTCCTTAGATCTAACTTCTGTCTGTTAAGCAGCTGAAAGCAACGGTGTGAGTGCAGTATTGGGGGAGGATAGTGGCCGTGCATGGAGGCGAAGAGAGAGGGATGTCCCCAAGTGAAGGGCAGGGGAGGTAGAGGAAAGGATTGTCGGGAAGGGGGGCCATGGTGGGGCGGCTGCCTAGGGCCGTGGCATCAGCTGGGGGAAGTGGCTGGGACTCCCAGAGGGTGGGACCCCGGTTCCGTCCTGGGCCTGGCTGTGGTCAATGCGTTGGCCATGGGGATCCCCCAAAACCTCTGCTCTCCCAGGTTGCGCCATGAGCTCTGGCCTGCCCTGGGGTGGGGAATCCCACGTGGTCGGGGGCCTCTCAGGCTCCCCAGCTTCTTCCTCCGAACATAGGCTGATAGGCTGTCAAGAAGGTGGGGACTCACTCTGGCTTAGGGGCGGCCCTCCTCGGACCTCCTCTTCTGGCATCTGGTATTGTGGTTAAGGGAACAGGCTTTTGAGAAGCTGACCCAGCATGGAGTCTTATTTTTTTTCTTTTGATTAATTGTGCTATCTTGGGAAAGTTACTAGCCCCAGTGACCTTCCATTTCCTCATCTGTGAAATGGGGATAACACAACCTTACCTCGCGGGGTTGTTGGGAGGTTTAATGTCCATGTTCTTTGTAAAATACTAAGAATGGTGCCTGGCATTATAGTAAGCACTTAGGTGTTAGTACCCTCACTTCTTGATTCCTTTATTTATTGACTTATTATTATTTACCATATTCAACAAATATTTTGTGTGCTACTGAATGTTAAGCACCATTCTAACGCCCTTACTTATCATATATTTATTATGGTGGTTTCAACAGTTGCACCTGCTGAGGTCCCTCCTGGAGACTGACCCTTGCCCCCTACCCCCCAGTTCTATCCATTTCCTCATTTTATAAGCAAGAGTTATTGGCAATAACGTTTCTTCCCCAGGGTGAGGTGGTGGTAAAGGTGGTGAAGGTGAAGTGATTCATGTTCTGCCAGGGGTTGAAGGCAGCCCCGTGATTCCTGAGCAGCAGGGGAGTGACCAAGTCATCTTGGGGGACTGTGGGGTCATGGCATAAAGCTGGTGGACATTCAAGGACACCTGGGCCCCACCTCCTGCAGTTCCAGCCCTGAAGTCCCCTTAGGGCTAGGGCTGGCCTGGGGAGCAAGGGGGGTGAGTCATTTCCGGAGAGACAAGGCTCTGGCAGATCACACTCCATATATGGCCCCACTGGAGGATAAACAAATAAGCTGCTTCCCCCAGGGCTGAGAGGAGTGTGTGTGGGAACGGGGTTGCTCAGGACCGAGGAATCCTGGAGGCTCCAGCCCAGCCCAGCTGGGTGTGGTCAGGGGAGGGGAGCTTCTGGCTTTGTGGGGGCCCTTTCCCCAGTGTGTGAATCCCTCAACTTTGGGGGGCAAGAACTGCTCCCAAACTGGACATAGGGGGAGGGAGTAAGTCCAGAGAAGGAGAGAGATGAAAACATGGCCTCAGATGAAAGCCAGCTGAAGCTGGCATTTCCAAGTCTGGTGGAGAAAGGCTCCAGTCAGAGGCCCGTGGCCTTGACCACAGAATTTAAACATGATTCCCATAGGCCTTCACATGACCCCTGAGAGCTCTGTGTATTTGAAGATTAGTCATTCGTTCATTCACTCATTCACCACACATGAACTGAAGATCTCTCATGAGCCAACTTTAGCTGACAAGTGGTCAGGCATCAGAGCCTGGCTCGTAACAGATGGACAGATTATCTTTGGGGAAGCTCAGAATTTGTACCCCCCTTCATGCTCGTCCTTGTCACGACAGAGGTTTCGTGATTCCCCAGGGAGGAGGAGAGCCCTGACATCTGACAGTTGACAGTCACACTGGTTCATTCCACATTCATTGGCACTTGTGTGCCGGGCACCATAGTGGGTGCTAGAGATGAGAGACACCCTCTCCTGTGGTCTCTCCTCTCCCTGCAGGACAACATCTTCACACTTTGTTTTCAGACTTCTCATACCCTCTCCACTCTCCTTCATTTTCCCATTTTTAAAAAGAAAACAAAACTTGATGTGTGTCTGTTGTATAGGAACTCTACCTCAATTACAAAACCATTCCTTGAGTCCATTCTGCTCTAGCTACTGTCCCAGTTTATTTGCTTTTCTTCTGAGGAACTCCCCTTGGCGAGTCTGGCTTGACTCTGGGACCAGCACCTCTGCTCACTACTCTGTGCTGGTCTCCCCCCACCAAGTGGCCTTGGACAGGACCTCGTCCCTGCCTCCGGGTTCACACTCCGCCCTGACTTTCCTCTGATCTCCCTGGCTCAGGGCCTTGGTCTCCTTTGCACTGGTGTCTTCGCCTCGCCCTCAATAGGCGGGAACGGAACTTCTCCTTCCCCTACCCCCCACTGCCGGCCGCCATCTCCCCAAACTCCCCTCCCCCCATCTTTCCCATCTTATTAACAGCACCAGGAATTGCTCAGGCCAAAAATCTAGGAGTTTTCCTTCTTTCTTCTCTTTTCTCTGCCTTCCTTCCCCTCCAGCCCATCTCCCCTTGGCTCTGTCTTCAAGATGTGTTCCCAGTCCATCCCTCTTTCCTTCTCTCTCTCACCACCACCGTTCAGGCCAGCATGGCTCTCGCCTGGGCCATGGCAGGAGTCTCCTGATGGGGGCCCCATCTCCCCCTCCCCGTGCCACCCTCAATTCTTCTTCCTTCAGTGGTCAGAGAGATTAAATAATAATAGTAACAAATTTGGGCGCCTGGGTGGCTCAGTTGGTTAAGCGACTGCCTTCGGTTCAGGTCATGATCCTGGAGTCCCGGGATCGAGTCCCGCATCGGGCTCCCTGCTCGGCAGTGAGTCTGCTTCTCCCTCGGACCCTCCCCCCTTTCATGCTCTCTCTCTATCTCATTCTCTCTCTCAAATAAATAAATAAAATCTTTAAAAAAATAATAGTAACAAATTTTATCATGTCACTCCTCTATGTAAAACTATCCAGTGGCTCTCCAGCATACTTGAATAAAACCCACATTCTTTCCCTGGTCCATGAGGCCCTTTTCTCTGGCCTCTCCTCCCTGTCCTAGCTCCCTGTGGGCCACGCTGTGGCTCCAGCCCCGCCCCCCCTTCCCCTGAACGCCCAGCCGTCACACCTGGGGCTTTACACTTGCGGTGTTCTCCTCCTGGGACACCCTGCCACCAGATCCGGGCCCCTCCTCAGCTCTCGGAGAGGCCTCCCCTCCCGGTCACCTTCTCTCACATTACCCCTTACCTGGTTCTGTTGTCCTCGGGTCACTTCCTGACATCGTTTTGTTCGTGCACTCATTTCCTGGCTCGCTGACCACACCCCCCCACCCCCTGCACTATGCACTCCTCCCCTGCTGCATCCCAGTGCCTGGGACTGTGTCTGGCACGCAGTCGGTGTTCAAAAAATATTTGTTTGGTGAATGTTGGATCAACATGATGTTGGGCTTAGAAAAACAGATTGGAGCCATTGTGTGGCTCATCTTCCTCATTTTAGGAAGGAAGACTGACGAAGAGGAAAGACAGGGATGGACACAAGGGCAGGGGGAGTAGACTGCCTTACGAGAGGCTGCCTGGAGAATCTTTCCTTGGAGGCTCCATAGATGCATTTCATATGTAATTCTGTTTGTAAAATCCGTGGGTTTGCATGATTATTTTTTCCCAGAAACATGTCTTTTCCTTAAATTGAGGCTTGGTTGCATGGTGATACCCTGCAGGAGGGGAAGAGGCCCAGGAGGAATAGGGCTGGGCCACAGGACGGGCTGGGAGAGCAGGTTTGACACCTGACGGTGGCAGAGGGATGGCCTTACAGTAACTCTGGGATGGAAGAAGAGACTTTTTCCAGACTCTTCCTATCTGTAGGGCCCTAGGTAGTACTGGGAGAGTCATAGGAAGGCTCCAGAGAGGGCTCACTCTGCTGCCTTACGGTGTGCTATTTCCAGCCCAAACTTTCTCCCAGGGCGCTGGTGAAGCACATCCTTCTGTCCCAACGAACCTCCTCCGTCTGACCTCAGGCTTGCCCAGGCCGTCCCTTCTGCCTGGCCTACCAGTTTCTCCCCAGCCCCCTGTCACCTCTGTTGAAATCCTGTTCACCCGCGGAGACGCAGCCAGGGTCAGTCTCATCCGTGAGCCTTTCTTGATAATCTTGCCTTAACAGTAACCATTCTCTCTCCTGCAGAGCAGTTTCTGTGCTTTGGTTGGGGGAGTTACTGGTGGACATGCTTCTCTTTCCCACTAGATAGAGGTATCTTTAGGGTAGGGATCCGGCTTGTTCTATGAATCCTCCAGTTCCTGACTTGCTGGTCCATTGCAGTTGCTTAGCAATGATGTATCTGCTCTTTGGTTGGGATGGAAGGGTGGGTGGATGGAAGGTGGGGAGGGCTGGCAGCGAGGTGGGTGGGAGGATGAAAGGGCAGGTAGCTAAAGACGATTGATGGGGGGCACCTGGGTGGCTCAGCTGGTTGAGCGTCAGACTCTTGGTTTTGGCTCAGGTCATGATCTCAGGGTCCCGGGATCGAGCCCTGAGTCAGGCTCCACGCTCAGTGTAGAGTCTGCTTGTCTCTCTCCCGATGTGGGGCTCCCATCCCAGGACCCTGGGATCATGACCTGAGCTGAAGGCAGATGCTTAACCGATTGAGCCACCCAGGCGCCTCTAAAATTGTCAGTTCCTATAGACGACATACTAAGAAAGTAAAGAGAAACAGGTGATGAATTTTAATACTATATCTCATTTCCCCAGTATGTCCAAAATATTCTATCTCACTTCCCCAGTATATCCAAAATATTATCATTTCAACATGTAACCAAGATGCAGATTATTAATGAGATATTTTACAGTCTGTTTTTCGTTATCAGGTCTTGGGGATACATGTGTACCTTACAGCACGTCCCAGTTCAGCTCAGCCCTGGTTCCAGTGTGGTTGCCCATACACAGCCCAGGCCTAGAGGGTGTTTGCTCTCTTTCCCCAGCCCCACAGTGGTTTGGCTGTGGGGGATGGGGATGCAGGGATGCAGGGATCTGGCCTGGCCTGCACTGACCCTCTCCCCGCCCCCCCCAGCCTGCACTGACCCTCTCTCCCCTGTCCTCCCCCCGCAGCCTGCACTGACCCTCTCTCCCCGCAGCCTGCACTGACCCTCTCCCCCGCAGCCTGCACTGACCCT